ACTACTGATATTTAATATCATAAGGACTTGTGTGCCAGATAGGGACAAGTTGAATGTACCTGGGCTCGCTCACAAGTTTTGCATGTTAATCCAAACTCCATTGAAATCAACGGGAGCTGAATCCTTAAAATTATTTCTGATCATTTTCAAAGCTAACATGCAAGGGAATGTCAAAGGAATGTAAGGGGGGTCCTGCACTTCCAGGACAGACATGTACTAATGCAAATAAAATACCATAGCAGCGAAGTGAAATACTAAAAATGTTCAATTCCTTAAAAAAAAAAAAAAAACTTGCTTGGGGATGCTTTAAACTTGTATTTGAAGTGATGCAGCTGTACAATGTATACAATATTCTACAGCAAAACTGACATTTACAAAGAAAAAAATGCTGCTTAAATTTCCGGTAAATCACAGCTCCCTGCCATCTTAGTATAAGAACCCCTCCTTCCCAATATACATACCAGACCCTTAAAGGTGAAGCTGGCAGCAGCTGGCTCTCTAACAGCCATCCTGAGTGGGAAACTGTAACATTTAACAGCAGTAATAATAATACGGCTGCAAAAGGTTTCACTTACTGTTGCAACCAGAGGTACAGGTCTGCAAGCGGATGAACACCCCAATTCAACTTCGGTCCAGCCTGAAGCTAATCACTACTATCAGGACTTATTCTCTTTCCATATAAGTCAATGGAAAGGCAAAATCATTTTGAAGCAATTTGATGCAACTTAGAAGTAGGCCAAACTGCAAGAAAAATGCAGTTCTAAATTAATTCCTACAGTTTATTAGTGTCTTGTGTTTCGATTTGGGAGACTCATCTATTTGTACCAGAAGACCATTGTGACCTAAAAAAAAGTTAAACATTTTATAATAAGTGTCCCATCCAGCCCTGATGCCAGCAGGCTGTCAAAATATATGGGAGTGTAATAGCTGATGGAGTTGGATGGTGCACCTAGCTTTATGAACGCTTGGGGCAGTATGTGCCCAGGGTCTAAAGCCCAGAACGTAGACTCCTTGGGGTTTATTTACTAAAGCTGGAGAGTCCAAAATCAGACTCCTTTCTGCATAGAAACCAATCAGCTTCTAACCTCAGCTTGTTCAATGAAGCTTTGGCAATGAAACCTGGAAGCCGATTGGTTTCTATGCAGAAGGGAGTCTGATTTTGGACTCTCCAACTTTAGTAAATAAACCCCCAAGTGTTCCAGGCATTGTCCCTGGGTGCAAAATGCCCTATATATTTGTATCACTCCATGCACATTCCAGCCGTGTCCAGCCACAGCACCTGGAAGAGTCTCAAGCATCGGAGCTAAATAGCCTGTGTGCATGGGGCCTTTAAGGAACATCTTAAAATTGGAAAAAGTGATCTGGGGGGCATAGATTTTTTTTTTTATACTTCCCAGATGATTTCTCGTGTGCTTAGAAAAGTTAAATGCCATTGTGAAAGATATAACCAACTGTGATCAATCAGGGCAATCACACTCCCACCTAAATCCAAAATACTATTAAATACCTCTTGTTGCTTGCTGAATACAAAAACTGTGGATTCCACCTCACTATCTAAATATATTCACAAATTACTAGTGCAAAACAACTCTCTAAATTAATAATTGTTAGAAAACATAAATACTCCTGTGAAAAACATATGCAAGTGATAAACTAGAGTCCATAACCAATCCCCTTGGTGACATGCATTACTTCCTTGAATATCTTCTCCTTTAGTAATATTCAGTAATCTTCCACCACAGCAGGTGAAAAACCTGCTCACCTTAAGAAAAGAAAATATGCTCTCATCTGGGTATACTCAACTCATCAGTGGCAGTGACATATCACTTTCACCTACAAATATAAAAGCATACAAAGCCTAAAATGTGTATCCACAGTGTTATTTTAGTGGGGGTACAATAAAATGTTATACAGAGAGCACTATGTTTCAGTCTTTCTGTTGCATGAGATCAATTTTGGTCTGACATCAGAGTGAGTGGAAGGCGAGAGGAGATAAGGAGATATGTCACTGAAATTGAGGAGCTGAGTACACCCAGATGAGCGCATATTTTCTTTTTATGAGGTGATCGTTTTTTTCACCTGGTGTGGTGGAGGATCACTGAATATTACTATAGAAGAATATATTCACGGAAGTGATGCACGTTACCATGTGGATTGTTTATGGACTCTTTAGTTTATCCATTGTGAAGGATGCCTAAAAAATTACACTTACAAGTCTATTAGATAACACTGTATATTGTTTTTCAACTTATTGAATCATAGAATTTACACTTGTAAGTCTATTAGATACCACTGTATATATTTTTCAATTCACTGAATCATAGAACCTGATTTTATACTAACATCTATTGTAACAAAAATAGAACAATACAGTGCACAATGCATATGATTTGCACATTAAGTCAATAATATTGTCCAATCAGCTTCAATGAGATGGTTTCTTGTGTTACACAGGCTTTGCTGGAGGTCGTGAATGACCTGTTTGAAGAACAAACAGACCTGGAGAAAGTTGTCAAGAAAATTATGCATCGGGCTCAGACACTGCTGAAGTGTGAACGCTGCTCTGTGCTGCTTCTGGAGGACATTGAGTCACCAGTGAGTTGTCTTCCAAGTTTAATATCATTCATAATTAATGCTTGGGAAAGCATTCTACAGCTGTCAGGCGGTGTTGTTATAAAAGTTTAGGATAGTGTTCCATGTACTACCCTTGTAAAATAAACAGTGGTGTATAGTTCCACCTGACATATGCTCATGCTGTTGTTGCCAATGTTGGATCAGTATGGAAACTCAAACAATTTAAAACATTAGCTCCCACAGCACTCTCCATTACTGTCACCAGTGAATTAACATTGTTTTATATGAAATGTTTGTATTTGGTGGCACTTGGGCTTTGGCTCATATTAGCCCAGCACAGAACAACTGAGTATCCAAGCAAGTATCCAAGCAAGAGGGTAATCTTAGGGTTGGAACTCTAGGAATGGTTGGTGTTATGTAAGGGATTACAGAGATGGTTAGTGTAATAGATATGGTTACAGAAAGGGTTTTTGGTGACAGAGAAAGTTACAGAGAATTCTAAGGTTAGAGGGAAGGTTTGTGTAATGGTTGGGGGCTAAAATAAATATTAATGTTAAGGTTGTGTTAGGGTTGTGATTACTGGGAGGGTTAGTGTTATGGATTTGGGATATATGTAGAGTTAAGAGTTACAGAGAAGATTAGTTTAGAGTAAAGGGGGGGTTAATGTTCTGAATAAGGTAACAGGAACTGTTAATGCTATGGTTGGGGGGATGTTACAGGTAGAGTTAGTGTTGGGGCTAAAGGAAGCCTTAGTGTTAGGGATGAGGTAACTAACTGCATTTGTCCGTTCTGTGAATTGAAAAACTGAACCCAATGGGGATATCGCTTTTTTCGCTAACAGAGGGGACACAGGATTATAGGGATATTGCTCTGGCTTCTCTAACATGGTGGCGACACATGATCTGGTAAGGTTTCCAAAACATCCCTTTTACAGTTTGTTGAGTGCTTGGGTTTGCAATCCTTGATATTTTGCTGTGACTGCTCCAATTCTGGACAAATCCCAGTACAGATGAATTAATCCAACAAAACTCAGGGAACTAAAGAATATATGTATTGATCTGGTACATTAAATGATGTGCATTCCTCCCCTCATAGTACAGTTAAAGAAAGTGAACAAAATTGCCCATGGAACATTTTTGGTGTTTTGGTACACCAAAACACCAAAAATATGTAAAAACGTTTTTATTTTAAATATCCAACAATCACAGATGTCAGCATATTTCCTGCTTATATTACTGAAAGGGTATCTATAGCAAAAAAAGATCAAGGTTTGAAATTTTACCAAATCTAATGATATATAACAAGTACAGTATATCTTTTAAAGGGGCTATAAGGCTATTTAAACCACAATAGTCATCAGATTTCTATGGGGAAAATATGAAATTGGAATTATGACTCAATCTTGTTAAGCAAATTGACAAAAGTAAATTAGCCTTTTAAAAAATTGTTTATATATACTGTATGTGACCATGATCCATTTTATTGTTAGATATTTAAAATAAAAACTTTTTTAACCTATTTTTGGTGTACCTTAAAATTGTAAATTTTGTTCACTTTCTTTAATCAGGGAACTAAAGACATGTTTTTTTAATAATCAGTGATTGTCCAAGGACCCCAGTTGGATAGACACAACATATTATGGTCTCGTTTAGAATAAGTGAAGGAAAGAAAAATATCTTTGTGGCCCAGTAGCCTAGACAATCCAACACAAACTTGTACTTCCTTCAATTTTTTATAAATGATCCTAAATATTTCTTTGGTCTTTCAACTGGTACAATTTGAATATTTTGAGTTGGACACAGCCAGCAACATGGCTTCACAAAAGAAGATGGTAAGGAATACATATTATTTGTAACACTTATTATTATAGTAAAGGAGAAACCTGTGGTAGCTACAATATTGGAGTGAAAGGAGACAAGATGAAATAAATAGAATAAGTAAAAGGTTGTTGTGATATTTGTTGTGTGTGTATATACAGTGTTCAGCATAAATGAGTACACCTCAACAGATTTGTCAGAAAGCCTTTTACTTTCCTTTCAGAATTCACATTTTCTATGGGACACTACACTACAAAATACTCCCACAAATGCGGGCCATTGATTGCAAACAAGATTTGTTAGTTTGCACACACAAAAAAGTATTTTAACTATCAAATTCATTCAAGACCATGTTGCAAAAATGAATACACTCCATTGAAAGTCTTAGGAGCAAAGCTAAATTTTAGACAACAAAATCCAAATTCACAAGACTTCAACTACAGGTGGGTCTAATTATTCATTAAACAGGTGTTCAGCAGACAGATGATTATAAAAGGATATTACTTAACAAAGAAAACCCCTCACATTTCATGCTGTCAGCAGTGGCACCACATGGAAGAGACATGTCACAAAGCCTGAGAAAGAAAATTATTTCTTTACAAAGGAAAGGTGGAGGCTACAAGAAGATCAGCAAAGCTTTACTTATCAGTCAGAATACTGTAAAAAAGGTGATAGAAAAATTTAACAAAGATGGAACTGCAACCATCTCACAGAGACATCCAGGCCCTCCATGGAAGTTAGCACCTCAACAAGAGCGTCTTCTGATGAGAAGGGTTGAAGAAAATTGCCATGCAAGTTCACTGCAGTTAGCTAAAGAAGTAGAACGCCAAACTGGGGCGATTGTTTCCTGTGACACAATAAGCAGAAGGAAGCCTCTTGTCAGGGTCCTGTCCACAGCAGGAGTTCTGGCGTTTCTGCCAATACTCTACATGGCCGCAGAAGGACACATCAGCCTCAGTCTGGTGCCAGATGGCCTTTATAAGGAGACCCATCACTCCCTCTGGTTGCTGCAGGATCTCTAGCTCCCCGTGGTTTGTTCCGGTTCCGGTTTCCTGTGACTTGTGACTTTGTGATTCCGACCCGGCTTGTACTTGGGCATGTCTGCTCTACTGAACCCCTGATCTGACCTCGGCTTGGCTAAAGGATACTCTCTCTCTCGCTCCTCCATGTATGACCTCGGCTATCCCACCTGACCACGTCTGTTCTGTTCCCCACCCGGTACCTGACCTTGGCTCGAACTGACTAACCAGCAAACATCCAAATCCCGGAAGGCTTGCACACCACGCACAGGCGCCTCCAGTCTGCAGACCTATCCCCATGCGCCAGCTGTGCTCCTGAGTGGACCACCAACCAGCAGTCCTACAGGCGACCTGTGCAACTTTGGGCCTGACTCCCACTGTCCCACTCTCAGGGGAGTTCGGAACTTAGCCGCAAGAGAAGCCCTCTCTCCATTGGCCTCCATCACCAGGTACGTGATACCTCTCCTAAAGCCCATGCACAAAAAAGCCTGCCTATAATTTGCCAGGGCCCATGCTGAAAAAGAAGAAGTCTACTGGGACACTGTACTCTGGAGTGATGAGACCAAGATAAATGTTTTTGGAACTGATGGCTTCAAAACTGTATGGCATCGCAAAGGTGAGTAGAACAAAGAAAAATGCATGGTGCCTACAGTAAAGCATGGTGGTGGCAGTGTTCTTCTGTGGGGCTGCAGGAGTGCTTCTGGTATCAGGAAGCTGCATTTCATTGATGGTATCATGAATTCACTCTGTGCCCTTGGTCGTCGTGTACTTTTCCAACATGACAATGATCCAAAACATACATCTAAGGCCACTGTTGCATTTCTGAAGAAGAACAGGGTGAAAGTGATTCAGTGGCCAAGTATGTCTCCTGATCTGAACCCAATCGAACACCTATGGGGAATTCTGAAGAGACAAGTTAAGCCTCACTCTCCATCCAACATCCAGGCTCTAAAAAAGGTTGTTCTTGAAGAATGGAAAAAGATAGATGTTGCAATACGTCACCAACTTGTTCATTCCAATGCCTAGAAGACTTGGTGCTGTCCTTAGAAATAATGGAGGTCATACAAAATACTAGATGGAGTAGATTATATTGCGGGGTGTATTTATTTTTGCATCAACTAACTTTAGTAAAACTAAATATTTTGTAGTCTGTTATATTATTAACCTTACTTACAGGTAATGAGCTAAACAAATGTTCTATAAAACTCAGTTTTGTCAAAATGTTGGAAATTGTTCCTGTGGTCATTAAGATATTGATTCAAATCTTAGTTTTAAAAAGGGGTGTACTCATTTTTGCTGAGCACTGTATATATATATATGTATATATATATATATATATATATATATATATATATATATATAGCCATAGTCCCTTGGTGGGGGGGGAATATGTTCATCCAGTGGGCCCCAGGCGCTGCATAGAGGGAAGGGGGGTGGGGGCATCGCTGCTGACAAGAGAAGAGACAGCAGTATCACTGCTCCTGTGGCCCATACACCTGGAGGGATTCAAGGGATGCCAGTGCAGAGACAGCTCAGCCAAGTAAACAGCAAGGAAGACTTCCACCAGTGTCTCCCTCTGCTGGACACTGCATTAGATGAGTCATCAGTCAGTGCCTGAAAGAGAACTGAGAATAGGAAGTTTTTTTTTTGCTTTCAGCTCTTTGCTGACAAGTGGCAGCCAGGATCTCTGATCTATCACTGCACTGGCATCCCTCCGGACGATAAAAATCAGCAGACAAGAACAGTGAGAAGGGGATTGTTCTGCTAAAGGATTCCACATGGATCAAGCAGCTAGTTATTGAGCACCAGTGCCCACACTCCCCCACTGACTAGCAGTGCCCCCACTCCCCCACTAAGCACCATGACCCCCCCATCTCTCCCCACTAAGCACAGGACCCCCTCCCCCATCTCCCCCACTAAGCACCAAGACCCCATCTCTCCCCACTAAGCACCAGGCACTCCCATCTCCTCTCACTAAGAAGCAGGACCCCCCCCATCTCTCCAGACTAGGCATCAAGACCTCTCATCTCCCCCCCAATAAGCACCACAACCCCCCATCTCTCCCCACTAAGCACAAGGACCCCCATCTCTCTCCACTAAGCACCAAGACCCCCCCCACCTCTCCCTACTAAGTACCAGGACATCCCATCTCACCCCACTAAGCACCAAAACCCCCCAACTCTCCCCACTAAATACCAAGATTCCCCATTTCCCCTCACTAAACACCAGGACCCCCCATCTCCCCCAACTGTCCCACCTCCCCCCTATCCCCGTTGAAGACAAAGCTTCATTTTTAGGCAGGTATGCGGGGGTCAGGGGCGGGGTTGAAGGCCCCATCAGGTAGGCTGTACAGGGACTCACAATTTCTAACAGCAGCCCTCTACATATATATTATTTACAAACAAATTCTGCTTGATTGCTTCACTTATTGTGCACTGATGCATTATATACTGGCATTTACTAATAAACCATTACAATTTTACTCTGAATCAGATACAGTTGCTTACATGCTTAAATACATATTAAGCAACAGATTTGTGTGGTGAATTCATGCACATCTCATTCTAAACCTGCATCATACAAAGGGACATGCAGTTTTCAAGTACTAAGATTTTCCTCTGTTATTTTGCAAGTATTTTAGGCATCTCCACTAAAACTGACATTTTCATTTTGCATTGATATTGAAAGATTCAGTAATATGCTGGGCTTGAGTTACTAAAGAATTAGAGAATGGTCCCTTTGCGAAATGAACGTTCTCTTAGAATAACGTGAAGCTAAGATAAAGTGGTCATCCAAACATGTGCGTGGGAAATCAAGGAAAACTGAGACTGGGCATCACAGGATGGTTGATTTTGGGTGGACCAGCCACTATGCAAAAATTGGGGGGTGGAGGGTTGTTGTTTGAACTAATGCTATATACCATATGTGCAGATTATGGCAGACGTATCTTCTCACTTGTTATTTGAATTTATGGCTGTTTGCCATTACTATCTTCCTCAGTGTTTCTTCTGGATTCCTACTAGAGGTGACGTCATACTGCGCTCTCCTTATTGATCAGAGACACTGACTGCTGCCTGATGACACTATGGGGTTTATTTACTAAAGCTGGAGAGTCCAAAATCAGACTCCCTTCTGCATAGAAACCAATCAGCTTCCAGGTTTCATTGCCAAAGCTTCATTGAACAAGCTGAGGTTAGAAGCTGATTGGTTTCTATGCAGAAGGGAGTCTGATTTTGGACTCTCCAGCTTTAGTAAATAAACCCCTATATGCCAGGGCAGCAGTCAGTGTCTCTGATTAATAGCCACAGCAGTACTATATCAGCATAGTGACACTGCTCTGGTTACATTATGTGAAAAAAAACAAAAACTTTGGACAGTCTTCTTCCAAAAATGAGATAGGCAGTCAGTACATCAGGACTGACCAATTTTCAGATATACTGTACATCCCATAGTTTTTAGACACAGACTAATGTGACAGAAATTAGCAGAATATAGTGTGGCATAAATTTATGAAAGATTATTTGCAAAGTTTTATAAAAAAAATCAAAATTTAAGTGTTTTTGTCTACTATATAGTAAAAGAAAAAAACAGTGGTGAATAAATACCACCAAAAGAAAGTTCTGTCTATCTAAAGAATGATCTAAAATTGAGTTGGGTGCAGTTTTGAATGACTGAGTTAGTGTCTTTCAAAGTGTAGCAGCTCTGAAAACATAAAAATGTCTTGGACTAGAAGGGTGTATAACTGTCTGGTCTTTAGGTGGTTAAAGAAAGCATTGATCATTTCTGCTGAGGATGCACTGTTTAAGGACCCCATTAATAAACATTAGGAAACTGACCCAATGTTGATCTGGTGGTGCCCCACCTTAAATTAAGCACTGACAATTCCTGTTGAAGATGAAGTATTTAAGGACCCCACTGACAAACATTTAGAAACTCTTTACAAATCCTTGTTTTTTTTTCTAGCATACCCTACATTTGAAATCTGCCATGGCCATGATGTGACCTTAAATGTCTTACAGAAATGGTCTAAACTCATATTAAAGGACAGCCCCACTCTTTTGCATGTGGGTTAGTTTATATATATATATATATATATATATATATATATATATATATATATATATATATATATATATATATATATATATATATATAAAACTATATATTTATTTTTTTTTTAACTAACAAAGTCTCTTATTAGTGATTATGCAAACACATTGGTTAAAATGTTGGTCTGCAAAACAGCAATGCAAAATGCATATGTGGGCATGCCCTTTGAGGGTGAACATCTTTTTGGTGATGCTTTGGACATTCTTATTGAGAATCTCAGAGGCTAAGATTATTTTTTTTCCCTCCTCCTCTGAGGCTAAAATTAGCTACTTTCGTTACACCCAGGCTTCAGCCTCCAAGGCTAGACCCAAGCCAGGAGCCCAGTTCAGCTGAAACTATTGACCCCCAGTCCTCCAAACTTGCAGGCAAGTTCTCTTCGACATGATGGGGCTCTTTCCAAAGTGGGGCATCTGTTGGCTTTGCAGACACCTCGTCAGAAAGCATCCCAGTTGCTTGCATAAGAGACATGGATTTCAGGGGCTTTAAGCTAGCATTCCACTCTCTGCCCCCACTCATCTGTTTACATCCGTTAACATCCGTTTTTTAGAATGGAAGAAAACCCTATTTTTCTTCTGTAAAAAAAAAGGATGTAAACGGACAAAACCAGATGTAAACGGATGAAAAATGGATGTAAATGGACAAAAATTAATGCAAACGGACAAAAATGGATATAAACGGACAAAAATTGATGTAAACGGATTGGAAAATGGAGGTAAACAGATGTAAATGGACGAAAAACAGACAAAAAAGGGGATGTAAAGGATTAAAAATGGATGAAAAACTGATGAAAAAAGGATGAAAACAGATGAAAAACTGATGTAAACGGATGTGAATTGATGAAATACTGATGTGAACTGATGAAAAACTGATGTGAACTGACCGTTTTTTCTTGGAAAAAACGTGACTGAACTGATGAAAAAAACTATGGCAAAAAGTCCTTCGGCAGCTGCAGTCTGCCCCCAGTTCTGTTATTTTGATATGTTATGTGGGCCTGCTTTCTCAGTTGTTCCTTTGTCCCAAATGTTGTGAAAGAAAAGAGTATTTGTACATATAAAAAAAAAAAGAATTTTACTGTAAATATAAAAATCCTGTTTTAAACTGTATAATCCAACGTATCTTGATTTACCACTATAAAGCACCACATCTTCTTGTTTCATGATTCTGTGCAGCCTGCCTTTTCATCCTCTCAAGCTGGCAGCTATGGATTTAAGGTAATGCAGTAGCAAATAATAGAAGATAAACGTCAGAATAAAAATTATTAAAGTAGGCTGGCTTTGTCAATCACATTTGATTAACTGAAAACTTTTCAACTTGACTTGACTGCAGCTATAATATGTCAAATGAAATTCAATACAATGAGCAAAAGTTCAGTATTTGATATAATAACTGCTTTTACCAATTGATCCTTTTCCTCCTTTCTCTTTTGAGTTAGTTCTGCCTAGCAAA